GCCCAGGCCACTGGCCGGTGGGGCAATCAATGGGGGGGGGGGGGGCTCTGCAATCGCTCCAAAGAGGGAGGCCCAGGCTACCCGGCCTGCGGCTCTGTGCTGGGTGGGCGGGGCCTCCCTCTGTCGCCGGCCTCCCAGACTGTGAGAGGGCGAAGGCCAGGCTGAGGGACACCCTCCCCCGAAGTGCACGAATTTCGTGCACCGGGCCTCTAGTAGGTAATAAGTCTCTCTCTCCTCTCTCTCCTCTCTTCTCTCTCTCTGTCTTTCTGAGACAGAACGTTTTAGTTTCTGTCTTTCTGATACAGAACGTTTTAGTTTGTTATTAATTCTCCCATTTGAAGAGCTTTCTATAGTTGTTCATAGATGTAATTTCTGAGATATACTTTCTCTAGGGAAAGCCATTTATTTGTAGGAGTTACAGGATGTGGTCTCCCTTACTCATGCAGAGTTCCTCCACTTTGATGAATGGAGTCACTCATTTGTTTATGAATATCTCATAGATCATATAGATCCAAACATAGATTAGTCAAACAGAGGGTTGTTTTTTTCCTCTGATGCACTGCACAGTACCTTTCTTTCCTTTCCCTGAGCAAAAAAAAAAGAGAGGTTAGGTGCCTGATTACATTTTATTGTACAGGCACACCTCGTTTTACTTTTGTGTTTTGCTTTATTGCACTTTACTGATGTTGAGTTGTTTTTTGTTTTTGTTTTTGTTTTTTTTACAAACTGAAGGCAAGACCCTACCAGCAAAAAGATTAAGACTTGCTTTATTGTGATACTCACTTTATTACTGTGGTCTGGAACTGAGCTCGAAATATCTCCAAGGTATGCCTGGAGTGTGACAAAATTTCAAAACACAAATAGATACACCGGAGCTGCCTCGTACTGTTCTTTCAGTTTTTTATTCCTGTTGAAAATACTCTTTCCCAGTTTGGCTGTCCCAAGTGTCACTCTGGACAGTGCTTGCCTTCTGGGTCTGTTAACTCCTGCCTTCTGTCATTGACATGCTCCCCCGACCCCCCTTCCTTTATGTCTCTCTTCAACTGGGCCCTAATCTTTGCTCCTGCATGTTGGAATGCCCCTACTCACTTCTCAAGTGCCCGTTTCTGCTTTCCTTTGCCAAATGCCATGCTGATCTCACCTTTCCAGCTTTGTATAGCTTGCTTGTGCTTAGAACTACTCATTTACAGCTTTTAAATGGTTTCTCCTGGCAACTTTAAACTCTTAAATTAAAGATATCAGAAATACTTATATCCTGGTTTTTAAAAAGTACATAAATAAGTTAATAACACATTGTAGATACCTTTACAAACCTAAGTTAGATTCCTATAACTCTAAGGGCAAAAGTGCCTTTCCAATGACTCTAAAAGACCTCTGCCAATAAAGTGGTGTGAAACCTTCAGGATTCTCTAGCTCCTTCTTTTACAGGATCTTTCTCTTTGGTTCCAATTCCACTAAATCCTCATTTGTCAGATTGTCCACTGTAAGAATCTATTGTGACAAGGAATCCCCTTTCCTCAGTGAGTGTCTGAGAGCAGTCCTTGTCACACGGTATCTGAATGTGAATCTCCTGCGGGTCTTCTGAAAATTCAGATTTCATCCGGTAGGTCTGGGTGAAGCCTGAGATTCTGCATTTGCAGCAAGCTCTCAAGTGATGCTGAACTGCTGGTCCAGGTAAGCACATAGGGGGCTGCTTAGCAGCTCTGGCATTCTATCAGCAAAGCTTTCTCTGTGCTTGTTAACATGTTCTCCAATCTACTCTCAACCAATTGCTAATTTAAGATTAGGCCAATAGTCTCCATTATTGATGTTGGTTCTCTAACTGTACTTTAAAATTTTGGTTGTTCATCTTGTCAATCAATCTTTCTAGTTTCTGACTGATTACTGTCACTTACATCAGCACAACTTGTCACATGCCTCAACTCTTCGTCCTTAATCATGCCTACAGAACAATTCATGTGCAATAGTGGCCATCAATAGTAGTCATTTTCTATTTTCATTTTTTAAAATTTTTGTTTTCTAAATTTTGATTTTCTTTGTAATAGATTGTCTTCTTTTAAAATTTTCACTGTTTTTGGATTAAACAGATATGATGGGATGAAGAATATTCATAAAACACCTCAAAATGAAGCTCTATGCCAAAGACTGATAAACAATGAGTGGTCAAGACAAAAATTATTGTGCACAACAGGTAAAGCTATTTTTAGTGATAGGTAGAGTCTGTTTGTTCCGACTTGGTGCTTTGTTGGAATCTATGAAATTTAGGAAATTGAAAGCTTATAAGTGGAGTTTATTTAATTGAGTAAAATAAGAAAGAGTTCTTATTTCCCAGTACTAAAGGCATCTGTCTCTATAGATTTGGTCATTTGATAGCTTACCAGGTTGTTTCTGGTAAGTGGAAGAAGGCTCATTAAACAATATACCTCTCTTTCATTTGTCTGGATCAACTGAGAAGTAAGGTAATAGCATCAGCATAAAATAGCTAAAACATAACTATCATTTCTGGTAAGGGTGATGAAGCACATAGCTTATATTCATGGGTGAGCAGAACTCCTAATACTGAAATTTAGGTTAAGACTTGCCCACCCACTCACAGAAAGCTCTGGGTCACCCCAGCCTCCTTCCTTCCTGGGGAGCCTGGCCTTAAAGTGGGTGCTCTTTTGAAAAAAATATTTTTAATATGTTTTGATTGATTTCAGAGAGAGGAAGGGAGAGGGAAAGAGGGATAGAAACATCAATGATGAGAGAGAATCATGGATCAGCTGCCTCCTGCGTGCCCCCTACTGGGGATTGATCCTGTAACCCAGGTATGTGCCCTGACCAGGAATCAAACTGTGACTTCCTGGTTCATGGGTTGACTCTTAACCACTGAACCACACTGGCTGTGCAAAGTGAGTGCTCTTTGTTGGAAGTTTGCACCCAAGGTAAAGAAGCAAGTGTAGGCGCAGGCTCCTTATTCCCTAGCTCACCTCTCCTCCACCAGGAAAGGCCTGAAGTATTAGACTAGTGGAGGGTCCTCCTTATGGAGAAAACATCAAGAGTGGAGAAGCGGTGTTCTCCCTAACCATAAGCTGAGTACTTTATCTAATTTAATTCCATAACAAACCAATCAACAATGGTACGTAAGTTTCTACTAGGCATCATTTACTGTTTTAGGTGCTGGGGACTCAGAGCTAAATAAAACGGAGTTAAATCTTGACAGAGAAGGCAGTTTATATTAGTGTCTATACTTGTGCAGCCTACCTCCCTCACCTCATCCAATTTCAGCCCCATCAAATTCTGGCTTTGTGTGAATTTGTAATATTTTGTTCTTCACAGATTTTTTTAAACTAACTTCAAAAATTTTAAATAGTGCATTAAAATATTATTCATCTTGATTACTGAGCTTTTCAGTTCCCCCTTCAATTTTGCAACTGAGGTGAATGCCTTATCTGCTCACCCTGGTCCCAATCTTGGTTTTAAAATAAATGTGTAAATAAATAACTTTAAAAATTAAATAACTCTTCAATAAATGATCAGATAGTAACGTATACTAAGTTGAGAAACAGGTTGTGTGATAGGAAGTGATTGGGCGGGAAACTTGATAGTCAGGGAAGATTAAGGAGATGATATTTAAGTTCAGACCTGAATGCCATGAACAAACCAGCTATGGGACAGTTTGGAGAAGAGCCTGTGAAAAAGCCTCAGAGTAGAAATGAACCTGGAATTTGCAAGGAACATGCATACACAAAAGGTTGGTGTGGCTTAAATATCAAGGACCCAATAGGTGAATATTACTTGCTTTGGATGGAGTATTGGGAAGGATTCAAATATTAGGACTTTGTAAGCCAAATAAGGAGTTTGAATTTTATGCTAAGGGCACATGAAGCAACTGAAGGATTTTAAGCAGGAGAGCAACATGATGTGATTGCTCTTTTAAGTAACTTTATTTGGCTGCTGTGTCAAAGATGGATTACAGGGGTGTGGGTGGCATAAAAGTAGAATCAGGAGAGCTGTCAGTGTTCCTGGTGAAAGATGATGGTGCCTTGGACTAGGGTGATGGTAGTGAAGATGGAGAAAGGGGGGCAGGTTCCAGCATTCAGCATTACTTTAGAAATAGAATTAACTGGATTTGATGTGTTAATATGAAGAAAAGGAGAGGAACCAGGGGGGGATTTCAGGTGGCTAAACTTGAACAACTTTGTGGATGGTGGTGCTATGTACCAAAATGGAAAAGACTGGGGGATGCATAGGTGAGGAGGTGAGTATGCAAATTTTCAATTTTGGGTATGTTTGGTTTGAGATGCCTATTGGATACAACTGATATAAGAAGGAGGGGCGGAAGGACAGGGCTGCAGATGGAGATTTGGGCATCATCCGTGCCTTGAGATAATTTACAGCATGGTGATGGATAGAAGAATCCAGGCAGAGAGCACAGGTGGAGATGAGAGGGAGGCTGGAGATGTCACCTTGGGAGCAGCTGTTGAAACAGGAGTGGAGACAAGGGAGGAGTGGAAGTATGGTGTCCTTGCAGTCAAGAGAAGAATGTGTCTTAAGAATGGGGCAAGGAACTGCCGCTTTATGAATGAAGAAACTGAGGCTCAGAACTGTTAACCATCGCATCCAAGATCAACACCAGTGGAGTCAGACCTTTGACCCAGAGTCTGTGAAACGATTTGCTACAGGGAGGTGTACGCTTTGCAAGAATTTATTCAACGCTCCTCCAAACCGTAAAAACCAACTTTGCACTCAAAAGAGCCCCTGACTTAACGCTTTCTTTCTCGATACCACTTCCAGTTTAAAGAGAAAAACGGGAAAGCCTGGGTTGGTCGGGAGAAAGCGTCCTAGCCTCTGGCTTTCCTGGCGGGAGGGAAGGACCGCCCCTTTTCCGCAGCCCAGCCCGGCGCGGCCCACTGCGGCTGCGCGGCCGGCGCGGGGCGGGGGCCCGGAGCGGCGGAGCCGGGCCGAAACGCGGAAGGGGCTCGGCGGCGGGGCCAAGGGCCCGCCCGGCCGGGGGCGGGGCGGGCTGCGCCGGAGCGGGCGCGCGGGTGACAGGTGCGCGGGGCGAGGGCCCGGCGGCGGTCTGAGACCTGAGGGGAGGAGACGCGGCGGCGGCGGCGATGCTGGAGACCTTGCGGGAGCGGCTGCTGAGCGTGCAGCAGGATTTCACCTCCGGGTGGGTATTCGGTGGGGACGACAAGGGAGCGGGGGGCCTGGGCCGGCTCGATGGGCGGGTCTCCGCCCGGGACGCCGCCCTCCTCCCCTCCCGCACCCCAGTCCAGTCCTGTCCCGCGCCTCCCATCCCCGCTCCGCGGAGGAAAGTAACGAACTTTCCGACTCGGCCCGGCGGCACAAAGTAACTTGGGTCCCAACGGGCTGCTCGGACTCGCGCTCCGGGGGCCGGGATGGTCTGGGGATCCGCGGGCCCCCTCCCGGCGTCCGCGGGCGGGAGGAGGCCGTCATGTGAGAGGGCGCGCGTGGGACTGGTCCCGCGCCCACTCGGCGCTTGGGACTCGGCCGGGACACCGGCCGGCCGGCCTCGGTGCTGAGACCCCACCTGGCGGGGGACCGCCGCCCCTCCCCAGGTCCCCAGGTCGCCGGCGGGCCCCGCAGCTTTCCCTGGCCCAGCGCGCTGCGTCCGGTTTCAGTTCGCGCCGTAGCAACTGGCGAGGCTTGTTGCCTCTTCCCCTTTTACTTTCCCTCCCTTTGCCCGGCTTTTAGCAAAGACATTCTTGGGCAAGAGAAACAACCGAACTGCAGCAACACTGTTCATGCCTTCTGGTTAAGAGCAGCAGCCAGGCGCTTCCCACACTTTGCTTAGAATCACCTGGACACCTTTAACCATCCTGACGCCTGGGTCGCAGCTCATGCCAATTAAATGAGCCGGGAGTGGAATTTTAAATACCCCCAGGGGATTCCAGTGTGTGGCAAAGTCTGGGAATCACAGGTTCTCATCTCTGTCACTTAAGCATATCTCTGCAAATCACTCAATTGCCACAGTTTCCAGGATGCGCTACACCTGGGATAAAGGATTGTTGTGAGGATTAATGGATTAACATGTAAAACGTATGTCACTACTGTTACTACTCCGTCACTATCGTTATTAGTGCTTAATTCATTTTAATTTTTCCATTGCTTTAGAAAGGTTGTCACCTTTATGAAGGATCTGTCACCTGTAGCTCACAAATCCTTTGGAAAATGCTCTGAATAACGAGGGCATCTTGAAAATGCTGTTTTAAATTTCTGACGAGAAAGATGTTAGCTAAAATTTTATCTCATTAGACAAAAATGTTTAATATGTTGTTTGCCTTTTGTGTGCTTAGTAGCAACCTGGCAAATAGTTGAGCACTTACCACCTATAAAGCCTTTTTGGTATTTTTGGTGTTCTTATAATATTTATTATAGGTGCTGTAGGAGTCATTCATTGATGGTGTGCTTGTATGTTTGCCTCCCCCTCCCCCCCTTTTAAATTTAAATAGTAACTTCTTTTCAGAGTGTAAATTATTGAGAATTTTTGGTGTGATGCTGGAATGCTCTACTTGTAACATGAGCATGGTACACACCTGTTATCGTGACTTCAAGGAATTCCTTGATGGAATATCAGTCTTCTGATAGTTGCTGTAACTCTCCTGGTGGTGTGGTTACCTCAGAACCCATTCGTACACCTGACCTTTGCTTAAGAAAGTTAAAACTTACCTAGGAGTATGGACTCTGGACCACAATCACCCGGGGGGAGCTGAGTAACCTGACTTTAGGGAGAGACTTGTGGGGATCTGATTAGAACCTCATGGAAACTGGCTTCTTGAAAGATGCCATAGAGCGGGACCAGTTTGGGATTAGACAGCCTGAGAGGCCTTTCATTCCATTTAGGCCCTTTGTTGGCTTTCTCCTTATACAGGTCACTCTCAGCTGATAAACTACTGGACTGCCAGTGTGTGCCCGTTACCTGGCAGAGAAATAACTCATCTCCACGTGATAGCTCTTTTCCAGGTGACTGGAAACTCTAAACTCTGATGTTCACTTTTGTCAGGTCCTCCAATTCCTGTGCAGTTCTTACCAAGAAAAACCCCACTTACTTCCTTTTAGTAAACTCTTACATATTTAGCTTGAGATTAACCTATTTTACACAACTGAATATTTTGCCTTGCTGAGAAAAGATGTAATTAAACACAGCACATGTGTATATTGCATGAAGGCACTGAGGGATTCAAAGATGAAAGTGACCTGGCTCTCTCACTTCCCCAGTTTTCAAATTGGACCTGGCATTCCTTTAGACCACTTGGTGTTAATGCCAACAGAAGCCAGAGCAGCTCAGATAATTGGCAACTAACTTCAAGGGTTCACGTTGCCCCAGGGAATCAATCAGTACAATTGGAAGGCTTTTTCCCAGCTGCTTCAGTGTGGCCTCACAGTCATCGAGAGCAGCATCCTCATCTCAGTGCTCATTTTCAATTTCTGAAAATTTATGTAACTGGAGCTTAAATGTAGGAAAATTAACTTTTCTTTTTTGAGTAAAATAAGATTCTTTATTTTCACATATCTGATGAATGCCATGAATTTCTACCTTCCATTTAAACTTAGAATGAAACTAAAGATCATCAGTTAAGGGCAGTGTAGAGATTGCTGGTGGCCTGCGGGAGACTATAGGTTGTCCATGGATTGTGGCCTTTCTGGTAAATTTTTATTCATAATATTATGTCAAAATTGAGACAAACCTAGTGTTATGTCCCTCTCTGACGTAAGTGGGTGGCTAGGTGGCCTAAAAGGATTGAGGGGATTGGTTCTAGACCTCACTCTTCCCTTCACTTGAGTCCTGTTTGGATTTAACTCACTCAGAACTGAGAGTCTTTTGGAGAGTTCACATAGAACAGTGATGGCGAACCTTTTGAGCTCGGAGTGTCAGCATTTTGAAAAACCCTAACTTAACTCTGGTGCCGTGTCACATATAGAAATTTTTTGATATTTGCAACCATAGTGAAACAAAGATTTATATTTTTGATATTTATTTTATATATTTAAATGCCATTTGACAAAGAAAAAACAACCAAAAAAATGAGTTCGCATGTCACCTCTGACACGCGTGTCATAGGTTCGCCATCACTGACATAGAACATCTGCTTTTTCGGGAATGGCTTGAGCTTTCAGGGAAACTTAGATATACTGAAGTGCACACTTTACACCACCCTGGTCTTCTTTTTTCTTCAGTATTAAACTTTTTATTTTAATTAAATATTCAGAATAAATTTGATTAAAAGTTTGCAATTAACAGTTAAATATTTAGGAACAACTAAATGAACTAAATGTTTTTCTTTATTGGTTGTGCAAACACTATGAATATTTAAAAGTATTGGTTGATGCTAGAATAATGTCAGTTGCCTAATAAATATAAAAGATGAATGACCAGGATCTTAAACAGAGTATACTTAGCTGTGGGTAATCTTCCCCCCACACAAAATCTCCCTGGACAGTAATGAGTTCATCCACTGATTGGCAGATGGGCTGTTCATTTCTTTTTTAAAATATATTTTTATTGATTTCAGAGAGAAAGGGAGAGGGAGAGAAAGATAGAAACATCAGTGATGAGAAAGAATTATTGATTGGCTGCCTCCTGCATGCTCCACACTGGGGATTGAGCCTGCAACCTGGGCATGTGCCCTGACTGGCAATGGAACCGTGACCTCCTGGTTCATAGGTCGACGCTCAATCACTGAGCCATGCCAGCCAGGTTGTCCATTTCTTGACACCCTGGCCAACAACCCTAAAAAAGGTTAGCTTTCCACCACACCAAGAAAGGCCCTAAAGGACACAAGTGCTCGCTCCCAGTTTGGAATCCACTCTGGGGAATAAGGTAAAACAGGCCTGACTCAGCTGGGCCAGCCTGGCCTAGTCCCTCCAGCAGTGTCCACACTGAGCATTGCATCACTTGTAGACGGTGGTCATTGGCTAATCTGCAGAACGGTTCTGAAGCTGCATGAAATAGACACGAGGATGTTCACATTTGGGACATGGCTCTGCTGTAGAGTCAACGTTCTCCCAGGCAGCTGCTCCACCAAGCATATCATCTACTTCTTTCAGCTTTGGATACTTCCTATTTGTTACCTTGCTGGTGGTGGTGTGCACAGAGGGGCAGGTGTTGCAGGCAAAATGGTGGCAGCGCTCTCCCTCCTCCTTCGCAAGACAGCAGACTCCGCGACCTCAGCTTCCTGCAGCCCACTCTGGTCTTTGAGTTTACCTTTGGAGTGGTTATGACCAAAGACCTCAGGATTGACATATTCAGGCATGCAAAACCCTTCAGGGAACTGAAAATCAGATTTACTTAATGGTTTACAGCTGCCTGTAACCAGCAGGCATTTCCTGTTTGTAATGCTCTAAGTTCTGTGCATAGGGATAGAAAATGTGTTACTACTAGTCCACCAAGACCGTGGTGTTTGCCCCTCAAAGCCACCTCTGCCCAGTATACTCATTCTTTCTTCTCCCCTCCTATAGTATCAAAACCTGCTCAAAGGAGAGGATCTATTCATCTCAGTGTGTTTAAATGATGAGGTTTTGCCTGAAATGTTACCTTTTCCAGGACTATTCACCTTTTTAATAAGCAGAAAGTATCTTAATATTCAACGTCATCTAATAGATGCTTACTGATTTGCTACCTTGTGCCAGACACTAGGGTAGGCTCTCAAACTGTACTTTTCCATGGAAACATTTTCCATTTATTTTTTAAAAATGATTTAAGAGGTCACATGCTCAGTTTTGCATAGCCTTTACTAAGCAGTGCCTACACACACACACACACACACACACACACACACACACACATCCTATATAATAAAGAGCTAATACGCTAATTAGACCAGACAGCAGAATGACTGTCCAGATGACTTTCCGGTCGAAGCCGGGGCTGCGAGGGCCAGCAGAGGCTGCGAGGGGCTGTGAAGGATGAGCCCCTTGCATGAATTTCGTGCATCAGGCCCTAACTGGTTTGGCTCAGTGGATAGAGCATCAGGGTCCCTGGTTCAATTATGGATAAGGGGAAATGCTGGGTTGTGGGTTCGATTCCCAGTAGGGGGCATGCAGGAGGCAGCCGATCAATGGTTATCTCTCATCATTGATGTTTCTATCTCCCTCTCCCCTCCTCTCTGAAATCAATAAAAATAAATAAAATCCTATATAATAAAAGCC